CTTAGCTTCTTATGCTAATGGTATATATGATTACTATGATATTGAATGAATTGAAGAATTTGTTGCTTTTAAGGCTGCCTATGAAATTGAATCTTTGTTTGAAAAGTATGAAGCTTTAGATGATGATGTTTATAGGCCTGAAAATTTTGCTATACTGAAATATTGCTATGACAATTATGAATACAATTACAATATTAACGCTTTTATTGAGAAAGTCTCCGCTGTCCAAGAAGAGACTAATATTTTGCAGGAAGCTATGGAAGAAGAAATTGATGAAACTGTGAGTTCATTGGATGAAAAAGATGAGGAGGAGAGCGAAGAACAAAAGGAGGAAGAGCGGATTGATCACCCGTACCCACCTTCTAATGAGAGTAACTCTTCAACTCATACATTGTTTAATTTCCTTTTGTGTTTACCGAAGGATGATTGCTATGATCCCCTTAATTCGATTGAAAATATCCCTTTTTGATGATGATTGCTATGCTTGTGGCCAAGATGCCAATATGAATTGTGCTTATGGAGATGAACTTGCTATAGTTCCTTATGTTAAACATAAAATCGTTGCTATTGCACCCACGCATGATAGTCCTATTATCCTTTTAAATTCTCCCAATTACACTATATCGGACAAGTTTGTGCTTATTAAGGTTATGTTGATGGGTTGCATTTTACCATTGCACTTGATGATTTTGATAGATATAATATGCATGTGCTTGCTGCTCCTACTTGCAATTATTATGAGAGAGGAACTATATCTCCACCTCTCTATGTTTCCAGTATGATAGAATTGCAAGAAACTGTTTATACTATGCATTGGCCTTTACTATGTGTGCATAAATTGTTCTTTTATGACATGCCGATGCATAGGAAGAGAGTTAGACTTTGTTGTTGCATGATATATGTTACTTTGTGCTTACTACTAAATTACAAATTATTGTTAATTAAAATTGGCTTTGATATACCTTGGGATCCGGGTGGATTCATTACTTGAGCACTATATGCCTAGCTTAATGGCTTTAAAGAAAGCGCTGCCAGGGAGACAACCCGGAAGTTTTAGAGAGTCGTTTATTTCTGTTGAGTGCTTTTATATAGTCTAAAAATAAAACAAAAATAAAGAGGGGAACCTAAAAACTTTTCAAAAAGAAAAGTGAAAGTGAGAAAGACAAGCATTGTTGAAGTGGGAGAGTTCCTTGAACTTTGTTCATGCTCACGAAAACTTTGTGAATCTTAATTGATCTTCCCCTCTGCTTTGATATTCCAAACTCGCTAAAGATGAGGCTGTGGAATGCGAGTTAGGAACTGAAAGTGATAGGCCGATTTTGTAGAGTACACTCCATTTGCTATTAAGTTCCAGCGAATTGAGTCAGGCCAAGGTTGCAACGAGGTTCCTTGCAAAGTCGACCAAAGGTTAATGAAGGAGTCCATTAGTCGTAGTGTTTATATTCCTCAACCCTCTCATTCAAGCGCCATTGGACAAAGCTTCACAAACAGACAACTTCTTAGATTTGGCCAGCTTGAACAAATCAGGAGAAATCTCCTTGGGGGCTTGTCCCTTCAACCATCTTTGATTCCAAAAGCTTGTGTTTCGACCATCACCCACAGAAATGGTAGTACATGCCGCAAAAAGATTTAGATCAGCCTGCTCGCAAGGCACCGGAGTCCCCTTTCAGGGTCTATCCACATAATCCCATTCATACCACGGCTAGCGAAGACGAAGAGCTAAAAATCCGAAGGCATGAATATCTAGCAATACTTGGATGGAAACATGAGATGCATCGCTCGAGCTGAGCACGGCGATGGTGCTCACGGGCTCGCTTGCTCACGGTAGGTGTGCCAATTGAACGCGGCCGGATGGAAGCACGCATTCAATGGCACCTATGGGCCAGGATGTACGTACGTACAGCGGAACAGGCATATACGGGCAACTCGCCGGTATATGTAACGATTCCGTGACCGCATGGTGCTACCTATACCGTTTGAACATAGCGTGCATGACGGTACACCGGCACGTAGACGGTGGGCTGGTTGACTGCGTGGCGCGTCGGATGCTTATGCGCATCCGTCCTCCACCTAGCGCACCGCCCGGGCACGACCAGATGCGGGTAAAAAAAAGAAACAGATCTCGCTTAGATCGCGCCTCGCCCCCCGCCCCTGCTCCTCACTCCCTTCCTTCGACCAAACTGGAAAACAGAGCAATGGCGACGGTGGATGCCGCGGGCGGCGGCTTCGAGTTTTTGTCAGATCCGGTTGACAGGTAACTTCGTTATTTTAGGATTTCGACTCCTCTTACTGTCCGCTTTCAGTCTGACTGAGGGATTCATCGCGGATCTGTCTGTGCGGCCGACTGTCCTATCGCCGCTCCTCTTCAAAGTTTCTCTTGCCGGAGCTTGGCGGCGGTGAGGATGTACTCGACACTGCAACCACCTAAACGCTCGTGGGCACAGCCGCACAGTCGAGCCTTGCTGACATAGGCGATGCGACGATGACGATACAACTAGATGTGAACAGCAGCTGCGAAGGGCTCAACTTACCGGCGTCAACCTCAGAGCAGTCGGCCGGCAAAGACGACCCCCAAGCCCCTGGCTGGACAAAAAGGTATCATCTGATTTATCAATGAACTGAAACTACTATTCATTTCCAAAAGAACTCCACAGATCTCATGTCTCTGAACGCAAAAATGCATTACTCTTACTAGCTGCTGCAGAAGTTCGTGTGCCATGACTTATTACTTGAAAAATATTTTGATTTGCGTACTGCTGAACCATCTGTTGTTCTCACAGAGTACGTACTGGCCGAGCACCTCTTTGAGCGTCCTCCATGTGCTAGCAGAATAAGCGCACTTCAAAAAACACTGAGATGCTACGCAGAGAAGAAGAGGGAAACGGTTGTAATACCTGTTGTCGGAGACAGATTTGATTCACTTGGAGAAGCGTACGACTACTACAATCTATATTTTTGGGAAATTGGCTTTGGTGTTGGATACGGAAAAAGCAGATTAAACGTGGAGAGAACAAAATGTATGCAAGAAATAGTTTGCGGCTGCTCGGTTAGTGATTCTTCCCAATTCCAGCCTGAACATACTCTTTAACTGTTCTCATTGACACAAAAAAAATCCTCACATGCTGTTGGTGTCACCAAAAAAATGCAGGGCGTACCAACAAGAAGTAACACAAGGTCTTGTCGATGCAGATGTCTAGCAATGATAAGGTTGCTACGCTCAAAGAACAATGGATGGTACATAAGCGAGCACATGGAATTCCACAACCACTCTCTTACAGATAAGTGTGGCCAGAAAATATATTGGCCCTCGCATAGACATATCGACATCTATACACAAGATGTTATCAAGCAGCTTCGTGCAAATAATATTAGCATTGGCAAAGTCTACAACATAATTGGCAGTTTCTTTGGCTCCATGAGCAGTGTTCCTTTCAGCAAGAGAGCTTTGAGGGGCCTTTGTGGACAGATAAGCCGGGATCAGGCAGATGATGACGTTAGAAAGACAATGGAAGTTTTTGCTGAATTGGGATCCAAAGATTCTGGGTTGTACTACAGAGTACAACCAGATACGGACGGTCACATATGAAATCTGTTACGGTCGACAGGCGCAAGCAGGGTACAGTACCATTATTTTGGAGATGCGATAACTTTTGATACGACATACCGTACAAACATGTATGATATGCCATTTGGGTTGTTTGTTGGGGTCAACAGTCATTTCCAAAGTGTCATATTCGGAGGAGTTTTAGTCAGAGATGAGACAATGGAAACATTTGAACGGGTGTTCATTAAGTTTATCTGTATGATGGGCGGCAAGCAAGCATCCTCAAACCATACTAACAGGTGTGGATCCTTACACAAAACAATTCTGAAATTCTTCATTTAGTTTCCTATATTAGAATCTCACATTGCATTGGTTCCCATATATTGCAAAAATAATAATATGGTTTTCTATGCAATGATGATAATCCTAACAAAAATGACTCATTTCATTATGTGTCTATAGAGCAGTGCAGAGCTATGGAAATAGCAATAGAGAAAGTGATGCCCAACACAACACATCGCTGGTGTAAGTGGCACATCTTAAAAAAGGCAAGAATCTCTTGGAGCACATTACACAAAGAGGAGCAAGTTTCGAATGGAATTCCACAAGATAATACACAACATGGAAGCAACTGACGGAAACACACGGTTTGCAGAAGCACCCTTACTTGACTCAGATCTATGAGACAAGAGAAAAATGGGCAAAACCATACTTCAATGGCAAATTCTGTGCAAAAATGACCAGCACACAACGCAGCGTGAGTGCAAACCATATGATCAAAACCTATGTTCCAGCAAGCTGCCCCATGCACCTATTCGTGCGGCAATATATGAGGCTTCTTTTCGATAGAGAAGCAGCTGAGAACTACGAGGAAAGGCACACTATGATAGTAAGTTTTCATTTCAAATTTTCATAAATTCACTAACAAAGGAAAAAAACTCTGTCATCACCACAGGAACATCCGTGAAAAGCATTCCTTCTGACCTATTTCATTTCCAGAATGCACCATTGTGAGGATGAACATACCACTCGAGCAGCATGCTAGCGATGTATACACCCGAGCTATGTTTGAGAAATTTGGTGAAGTACTGTATGAAGCAGGGCAATACAAGATAGAGGAGGTAAGCAGATGGAAATCATATCTAGCACGAAGACACCACCCAGAAAGGCATGAAAAATGGTGCAGAATAGTCTACAAAGGTTGAGGTTATTGATGATGGCGCAGCGATACTGTGCGAGTGTGGTAATTTTGAACACACATGCTTGCTTTCCTGCCACGCATTGAAGGTAAATGTAATTCATCCATCAAAATAGTGTATCCTTGTTTTCTTTCTTCTTGTTTCACACTCATTCTGTATGCAACAACTACGCAAAAAGGTTATTGTCGCTTGATTGCAGCAAACGGAGAAAAACCATCCTAAAAAATGTCACTGTGCAGGTCCTTGATGTCCTTGGAATGGATCAGATACCAGCAAAGCACATTCTGAAATGCTGGACAAAGGATGCAAGGGATGTGTTGCCAGATCATCTTGCGCACCTTCAGAAAGATAGGATTAATGTCAACTCTATAACATTCAAGCACTCGAATTTATACACTCATGCACTTGAAGTTGTCCATCTTGGTGATGCCAACACATCGACTTATGAATGTGCAATGGAAATGCTGAAGAAAGCAATGGATACGCTAACGCCCATGGCCAGCGTCCGCATCGGGATGGGGCTTGAAGACAGAATTCATTCAGATAAGGGAAAAGACAAGGAGCTGATTCCAATGCATGCAACAGAAAGTCATGAAGAGAGCAATGCTGAAGGTAGTGTTGTTGAAAATTTCATCGGCTTAAAGCCTCCAGAACGAAAGCATAAACCAGGAAGACCTACTACCAGCAGGGACAAGCCTCCATATGATGATCGATGTGCAAAAAGCAAAAGATTCAAGGACGCAACAAATGGAAAAGCTCATGATGGTTCTGGCACAAGCAAACGTACTCGTTTCTGCAGTATATGCTGTGGAGCAGGGCACAAGAGTACCACATGTTCGCAGAGGGGTGATCTCCCTCGCAAAGACAGGAAAGAGGCCAAATGTTCAAACTGCGGTGGTGGTGGACACAAGAAGAACATCTGCAACAAACCTAAAGTAGTGATGCATGTTGTTGAAAATGCAACTTTGGAGCAGATTTCCATCTAGAAAAAACTGATTTCTGTTGCGTTGTCATCGGCTCCGTAGGCGTAATAGTTCTGTAGCGTCTAGTAATGTTGAGGGCTGCATAGCCATGAATCAGTAGAACTATTTCAATAATCCTGACCGGCACTTATCAAGGTCAGCAGTGTTGTTCATGACTTTCTGTATCTCTCTCTCCCGCATATAACATGGCCATTTCCATGGGTTAAATCCTTGCATCAGCTCTGTCAATTGCCGATGCTCTTCTGTATTTCATTCGAAAATTAAAGGAAAAAAACCCTTTCCATTCGGTGCCTTAAGTATTGCCACCTTTCACAACGCTTACTTGATCGCTGGTCTGCACCCATACTGACAAACTATGCATGTAAGAATACTCCCTCCATGTGGCCACTGCCTGAACATGTGTCCAAACATGCCAGCCTCGTCCTCGGTGATATCGGCGGCAAGCTCGCCCACTTCAGTACCTTGACGCCCGTCCGTTCGTCCTGTACCTCAACGCCCGTCCGTTTGTCCTGTACCTCCGTCCATCCTATCCTAACGATCGTCACGACTACGTCCTGTGCATACGCATTAACTATCCTGCTTATACTCCTTCACTATGATGACCAGTCCAGATCCCATCGCAAAACAACGCTCGGAGATACCGTGAGCAGGCGTGGACGAGCACGCCAATGAATTTCCGTTCCTCAGGAAGCAATAATCCTACACTACGAACAGTTACGTGCACTTTTAGGTAACTCTCCTCCACTGAAGTTCAATGGAGGTGGGGCCCCTCCTTCCCCTACTTCCAATCACAGATTGCTAAGTGGCTAATTACGCAAAACTGAGCGTAACTTTTCGTACGTGTCGCATTGCTCCCAGGCCGCGGGGCCACGTGGTCTCATATATTTTCTTAGTAATAGTAGTGTGTTTATATCATTTCTTTCTCTGGAAAGACTATGTGGAGATGGCCTGGCCTCCTATTCCACACGCCCCCAACATATCAATATCCGATCGACACTTAGATATCACATACCAGTCTGCTGAGCTTATAAATGGATGAACTGTCTTTCTTAGTTTAAAGAATTTATGGCCTTCCGACGAATCAAGATCAGCCACACATGAACCAGTTCAACCGTCAATTAAGTGTCATATAATAATACCACGAGGACTATACCTGCTTTCTCAACTTGTCACTTGGGTGGTGACATGAGATAGGACTATACCTGTAGCAGGGAAGTTAGGGATACAGGAGGACGTCCCTCTCCGTTTCTTAATGTACCACAACCAGAAAGGTTACGTAAGCATGCAGGTACATACACACGGTACGTTTCACTGCGCGAAAAATCCTATCCCTACTTAGTACGTATAGATTCGTTGCGCCGCTCCAGCGGACTTGGCGGATGGCAGCTCTCCCAAGGAGAAATGCTACATCTACGAACAAAACTAACGTAATCTTACGTGATTAGACAGCTGGCAATTTGTGATTGGGATTAGGGAGGAGAGGGGGCCCACCCCACTTAAAATAGGAGGGGGGGGGGGCGATAGAATTATGAAGGAAGGTTACGTAAAACTTTACGTAAGTCTTCGTAAGTCGATTACGTTAGTTTTGTTCGTAGATGTAGCATTGCTCCTTCCAAGTCCCAAGTAAGTGCGTACAGTAAAACAGAGGAGGAACGGTAGTCCACTAGCACTGCATCTGTGAATTACTCAACCAGCTACATATCGTTTACCTATCTTCCTCTCAAAGAGAGTATTTAATCAAAAACTACCACGATTCATGAAAACGTGCCCAGAAACAACCACTTTACAAATTTGTGCCAAAAACTACCACTTTTTGCCTAATCTTTGACTAAAAACTACCATGTCGCGAAAGTGCCTGATTCGCCTCTTATAAACGCCTTTCCTGACAGGTGGGACCCACACATCATCACCAACCTTCTTCTTCCTCCCCTTTTCTTTCTCTTTGGCATTTCAACAAACACCTCTTGTGCATGGGAGGAAGCAGGGGAGCTCCTAGACACCACTCCCCCTGAGCTCGCTCGCATGCCGCAGCCGGGTAACACCACCACCGGGCACCATGGCCGCCTTCTTCACTCCCCGGCGTTGGTTGCGGACTGGAGATGGCAACGGCGTCGGCGCGGCGGGCGGCAACGTGGCGGTGGAGGTGAGGCAGGGGCAGGCACGCGGGCCACGCGCCGCTGCCGCGTTCGCCGGCACTGGACCGAGGGCGGCATGCTCCACGACATGCCCGTCGGTGGTGGCCGCAAGAGCAGGCGCAACGGCGGTGGCAAGGGCGGCGCCAAGGCCCCCTCCCCTGTCACCACGGAGGTGTCTACTGCAGCTACCCAGGGCAGCGGTGCAGGCGTGCCGGCCGGCGCCGTTGATGGGTTCATCCCGACCGACTTCCTGAGGCAGATGATGTCCCAGTCGGGGAGCTTCACGGCCGTCGGCGGGGGTGGCGGCTACGGCATCGACCTCAGCGCATGGCAGCAAATGACCGGTGTCTACTGTCGCGCCGCCGCCAGGACAGGCTGCTACTAGGACGGCGCCGGAGTCGAGGTCTTTCGCGCGGAGGAGGAGGTCTTGGGCACGGCGGCAGCGGCGGGCGCTGCGAGCGATGGGCACGGCGAGCAGCAGCTGGTACAAACAGCGTTGACTAACGATGCCATCACTTACATGTGGGCCAGACCTGTCATAAGTGCGTTTAAATGGACGAATGCGCCAATTTACAGACAGGTAGTTTTTAGTCAAAGATTAGGCAAATAGTGGTAGTTTTCGGCACAAATTTGTAAAGTGGTAGTTTTTGGGCACATTTCCATGAATTGTGGTAGTTTTTTTGTTAAATACTCTCCCGAAGAAGGAAAAGCTATCTACCTTTCCGCCGCCAGGGACTCGCGCTTCGCCGCCGTTCTCCGGTGGCTCCCGTCTGTCGACGATCTCGGTCGTCGATGATAAAGGGGATCGCCGGATTCACGCATGTGAATAGTTTTAATCCAAAGTAGCTTAGTGTTTAGGTTGTTCATCGTCTTGGTTTCGGCGGCGGCGATGGGGCGCTGAATAAAATTTCTTCAGATTCTACTCCGATGAGACGATTGGTCCTATCGTTAGGGATGGATTTGGAATCCAGTCCGTTCAAGCAAGGATGATGTGGCGGCGGCGACATCCTCGTAATGGACATGTGTCTTCAGGCTCTGCCGTTGCGAAGGCGTCTGCTCTAGCGTCGGCACGAAGCTTGGGAGGTAGTTCAGGAGCGGATGCAGATTGTGGTCTACATCGATGACATCTGAAAGACGGAACGTGTGCTGGGTTCGTGGTTGATGGATGGCATGTGTGATTTTCTCATTCGGCGTCTTACTCGTGGTGGAGTGTCAGATCTGTAGTGATGACGTGTGCGGGGTGTTGCCCCGGTCTGATTCGTTCAACGGCAATGGCTTCATTTTTGGGGAGACACATTGAAGGTCCGCAAAACTGCTTATTTGCCATGGAGCCGCGTCAAGCTCGAGTGAGGAAGTAATCCGTCATTCTATTCTTCGATGTCTGCGGACTGATGTCGAAGGCAGGTGATGAACATTGGTATCGAACTCAAAGATGTTCTGTTATCTTTTCAGGTCCTTACATGACTTGTCCTTTAATATTTATCATATGAACGAGACACGCATTATCATTAAAAAAAAAGAATTACTCACCAGTTACCTATTTCTATTTGCATACTGTACTACGGATAGCTCGTCCTTGACAGCACCGCGCGCGCGGCTCCACTGAACACAGCCGGTACTGCCGTCGTTATCAGCTTGCCAGATCGCCGTCGAGCACGTCACACGCGCGCGATCGGACGGGCAAGGCAAAGCTTCTAGAGAGCGTTGTCTGGGTCCCACGTCTTCGGGGTTATCGTACTGCAGCCGAGTGCGTCGCGTACGTGTTCGTGCTCGTCTCCACGGGGCTCTTTGGCCGCTCTACATACAGATCAGCGTACAGTGCCGGCTTAATGGAAGGTTGGCGGGAGTTAACAGAGTTATAACCTGACGGTGAGATTTGAGTGGAGACAAGACAAGCCTAGCCAGTCCAGCCGCACGTACAGGAGGTCCGGCGATCGACTGCGAGGGGGCTCGTGCGTCTTCTGCTCGTGCTCGTCTCCGTGCGACCGATGCACAGTTGGAGTAGTACCTGGTAACGTCAAATTCAGTAGCTGACAAGTTGTGAGCTCCTTAATTAGCCGATAGGTAATCGCGTACGTGCAGTAAAACAGTTCAGCTCACCCCGTTGTGATTCAGAACGTCTGAACAGGGAGAAGAGAGATCAGGCCGGCGCCATGCATGCGTCCAAGGAGCCAGCTAGTTAGAGGGGTGCCGCGTCCTGCGCTGCACCTGTGATCGTGTGAACTCTCTCCGCACTTTGATTTTTTGTCGAAAAAGACCACCTGCGCAATTGAATTGCTAGAAAAGACTCCCTCTGAAATGATTTGACAAAAAAGACCCCCTCGACCATGGCGGCAGGCGCGCCAGGCAACACGTGGCACCTGCCGCCACGGTGCGAGGCGGCAGCCCCTGCCGCCATAGCGTCAGGCGGCACGCTGCTTGGAACGTGAATAGGCCGGCAGAACGGAACGGGTTGGCGCTGTGGGACCCTGCCGCCTGAGAGGCTGGCGGCAGGACTGTAGCAGCTGGGACAGCCGCCTCAGGGGCTGGCGGCAGGTCTGTTTATTTGCTGCTGCCCACTACGCATGCGTGCACTGTGCACACGTCTGTCCATTACTGCGATGTATAATCGGCTATAGCTATTCCAGTACTACTACTGCCTAAGTGCGTACGTGCGAACATGCAAGTACTACATGTACAACCGGTCACTCATTGGCATGCAAGTACATATAAATGGAAGCACGCACGCGTATAATGAAGTACCACTGCCTGCCTAAACCTTGTAGCTACATGTCATGCAAAAAAGAAAACTTGTAGCTACATCATTGGCGCTGGCGAGTACCGCATGGGGACCTGCCGCCAGTCCATGAGGCTGCCGGGCCCGGCTGC